AAAAATCTGTGGCCGACATGATTGCTTTTGTTGATACTCCCTTGCTATCAAAGCTTTTTTATTTTTTTCTTTGGGCTTAATTTCACCAGCACAATTTCCTTTTTACTTTCTTTTTTGAATGATTCCTTGACCACTCCGGCCGTTCATCAGTCGGCTATTTTGTTTATATGCGATTTTTTATCAGCTGTTATTTTTGTACGGATAATTTTGGCATTTTTCTTTTCGGGGGAATTCACATTTGCAATTAGGGATCTGTAAGTCGAACTTCGTGAAAATGTTTAATCGAATATTGACATAAATAAAAAAGTTGAACTTCATCTAAAAGTAGTGGGAAATGTTTATAGTTTACAGTTAATATACCTACAATTTCTGTGAATTACTAAAGTTCTAAGTAAATAAATCCAAGACTAATATGAATATTACCAAATAAGAAAAATTATATTTAAATTACTGAACTACAGATCCCTATTTGCAATGAACTAAAAAGACCTAAAATAAGCAACGATGTGAATTAAAGGAGTGTGGTGTATGTTGAATGGCAACACGAGTTTGATAGGTGCACGAACGCTATACATTGAATTCTACATATCAAGGACAAGCGGTTTGTTCTGTTCATATAATTTTCCAGCAAAAAGTAATGGCGTTTTTACACGATATGTATTTTGCATATGTGCTGTCACTTATTTCATCCATATGTAATTCCTTATGTGTGTGAACGGGGTTAAAGAATTGGTATTTAAGATCGAGTCGATTTAGTAGTCTAAACGTAGCCTAAAACTCCTTGTACATTAGAATTTTTTACCGGGTTAACCTACTTTATGAGGATTTATTTGACGTATATGTAAAGGAATTGACAATTGAACCCAACTGGGTTAACGAAATCCGGTTAAATGTAAACGTACTATAAGTATGTCTATACATAACATAAATATTCATATCGCTGGCTTAACTTGTAAAAGCAACAAGTCCGATTTTCGAGAAATTGAGATTTTGATACAGTTATGTATAATAAGGCAAAATACATCGATCTAAAAAAAAATAAAAATACAGTTATCTCATTTGTTGTTTTTGTATTGATGAGTAAAGGCGTTAAGTCCAACTCATCACATGTCGCCGGCTTAACATCATGAAAAGGCGATAACTCCACTTTTTATTTTGAGTATTTGGACATGATTTTCAGCCGAATCGACTGTAATTTGGTATTTTAGGTACTTATGGGGTAGCTCACCTTCCAATAAAATATTATCGACAGTGGTCCACTTTTTAGGGTACCGCCTATATAACCCATATCCCCAATATTCGAAATTTTAGTAGGTTCGGGCACGTTTTTCAAACGAATTAGCGGTAATTTTATATTTGGAACTCTGATTTGATTTAAAATCTCTCTACCAAAAAGTATCAATATTGGCCCATGTTTTGGAGTAGCCCCCATATTACGTTACCCCTATTATTCGGTATTTTGGGAAATTTAGGTACGTTTTTCTATCGAATTAGTTCTAATTTGATATTTTGGGTTCTCATTGGGTGTCCAAACATCCTACAAAAATTATCGATATCTGTCCGCGATTTGGTATATCCCCCACAAAACAGTACCGCAAACTTCCAATAGCCAATCGTTTGACATTTCATTTAATCTTGGTAGTCATTTACGATGGCATAACATAATGCCTTAAAAGTCCCGATCGATTTTAATTATTTGACTGTGCACCTCGTGGTAGAGAGTATAAAAAAGTTCTGACCTGCCTAACATAGCGACGTTTTTACTTTTTTTCATATTTTTGAATAAATTATGATTCCAAAACAATCTTTAGTCTTTTAGATAATATTAACATGTAAAAAATCTGAATTATTGCACTAATTAGAAAATATAATGATCGACAAGTTGTAAGAAAAGACCTAAGTCCATGAAAACATACAAACTTAGCAACAGAAAAAGCTCCAAGTCCCAAAAAAGGCGTGTATCTCCTCAAATACTAATTTTTTTCATTTTGCCTTTACGCAATTAAATCACACATACAATACTAAAACAAATTGCATTTACAGATTTAAAAAATCATTATCCAAAAGAAAGTTTGATTGTTTTTTGCCTCTTCTGGAAAGTTGTGAAATATGGACTTGTCGCCTTTACAAGATAAGCTAACGATATGCAATTATGAATATAATTTTTAATTTTTAAAATAAAATAAAAAATAATTAAAAAATATGCCAATCAACATGCATACAATTTTATGGAGACTACCTTCCAAATTTATGCCATGGATTATGGATAGTAGTATCATTTGAGAAACTAATGATTTCAAAACATAACTCTAGATGTTCCAACTTATATTTATTGGTATATTTCGAAGGAAGGTATTTTTATTTAAATTTGAAATGTCAAAAGTAAAATTATGAAAAAATTGCAAACATATGACTGCATGAGGCTATCTGGTATAATTATGCCATGGGTGGTATGTAACCTCAAAAAATGTAAATAATCAAATCACATCACAACAATCACACATATCACAGAAAACTGTTTCCTAAACAACAAATTTTGTAAAAAAAAAAATAGTTCAAAACATTCGGTAAAGGAACACATCTATTGTTCGCCACAGTTATAAATTTGACAGATGGTCTGTTAAAATTTATATAGAATGTGGCTTTAAGTGTTGCCATGGGACTATATCATTCTTGCCAAAATAGTGAACAGAGTTGATTTTTTAGTACTAATACTAATGTGTTGCAATAGAATAGTAGTGATAACCGGTCTAATTTCACTCAGCTGTTCAAAAAGAAAATTATTCAATTCACAAATTTATATGAAAACTACGCCTACATACGTACATGTATATATTGGCGTCGGCTTGAATTTTGTGTTGTTTGCAGGCAACACAACAATTGAGTCGAGTCAAGAGTTTTCAATTTTTTTATTTGAATTCTGTATGGGCATGTTGTAAAATGAGATTAGTTACATGCTTGCATCTGTTAAAGACATGAAATTACCCGAAAGTAGTAGGGTTTATTCAAGGTTAATGGGCTGACCGCTTCTTTTTTGATAGTAACTGTCTTATTATAAAAATTTATAGGTTATTGTTAGATTTGGAAATTGGTAATTTTACTGTGATACTTGCTGATATTAGTAGGCAATTCCTTAGTAATTATTAGAATACGCATATGGGAGGTTATTTACAAATCGTTGTCTTTACTACAATATGATAGTTGAGTGTGGCGGCGGTCATAAATGTTAGGCTTTACTATATCTCACTTGGCCTGTTTCTGTGCTCAAAATGTAGTAAAACTTTTCAAATTTATAAAGCGAGAGAGAAATGTTAACAAAATTGTGTTTGAGATTATTAAAAATTAACGATTGGTTCAAAAAATGTAGAGAATATTTACGTCATTTGGATTTTATACAGAGTTGTATTTCGAACAATAATAAATTATTTCCCCTATTGTATAAGTATATATTTGTAGTTGGGTGGGTCAATGCAAGGTTCTACTATATTATGTCATATTAACTGGATAGATAGGCGGTCAGTAATACGTCGCAGCAATAATATTGATATTGTAGTGTTTAGGTCACCACTATTCCAAATAGAAGCAGGTAGAAAATGGTTTGCTGTGTATTTTGTTATGCAGAGTTGTATTTTAAGAAAAAAAGGTCATTTTAAATAATTCGAGAACCTGCAAGAATCTTCTATTATAAATTTGATGACAGTTCAAAGGTTTGCCAATAATAGATTTTTCAAATGAATAGAATTCGGACACAGAGTTGTATTTTTTCAACAGAAAATGCCATTCTGCAATGTTTAATTAAGATAAAGGATTTTAAATCTATTTCGTTGGGGAAATTGATTTAAGGAATCCTCGATAATTGCTATCGACTCTTTGAAGATTCGGGGGGTCGCTGGTGGTTGCAATACATTTCGAACTGGTTTGAATCTAATTGAGTTACACTCAGCCTAGAATTAGTACCTTACCTTCTGGTACTCAAGTCCCTATTAACATATTTCAAGTTGCGAGACCAGATATGAATAACCTCCCCAAGGGTCCCCAAATCTTTACCTACTATATTTTTTAATCGAAATTAAAAAAAATCATTTAATGATCATTATTGATCTCAAAGAATATAGGTCCAAAATGTAACCTTGTCTTAATTATAGTCCTTTAATTACAACTATGACCTCCCACGCCCTTTACTTACCTTTCGGATAACCTAACCTATAAACTACTCTGAATATACTTTTTTGTATTACAACAAAAGATTTTTACGATTCTTGAACCAAGATGGCGTCGACTTGTTTAACAACGACGACGATGGCAACGACCACACATTCCTAGTACTCGTCTCTACTCTCCGTCTCTCTCTTTCCTTCTCTCTATAGAAAATAAACTGGCTCGTTTGCTCGCATTCGAATGGCCCGAACAGAAACGAAGCGTCCGCCATATTGATGAATATTGTATGTGTGTTTTTTTCGCATATGACGACAACGCGACGACCACGATACAGAGTCACACAGCATACAGTACATTTTTGTTGCGGCCATACGAAGAGAAAGAAGAAAAAATTGTTTTACTTGGAAAATTCAAGAGATATTATTTGATGCAAAGAAAAAAAATTTGGAAAAGAATTGAAAAATTAAATATTGAAAAATAATTGAAATTTTAGCAATATTATTATTATTATGTGAAGAAAAGTGCAAAAATAAGCAACAGTGTGTGTTTGTGTGCGATAACTTGATTATTTGGCTGGCTGGTCGGTCTGTCAGCAGTGCCAAGAAGAAGCAAACGAACGCAGGGCAAAGAGGAGGGAATATTACTTTTTGCTTTTGTTGTTGGTTGTTATTAATTTAATTGGACAGACAGCCGAAAGTGAAAATAAAATAATTTGAAAGAAAGAACGAAAAAAAACAACCAAGCGTGTTAAGAAGTTACTCCCGATTTTTGGACCTAACCAGTGGATATTGTGTTTATGTCTGTTCGCTAGTTCGTTTATGAAGAAAATTGCCTGCAAATGATGAGCGAGTCCGCGGCGGCGACAATTGTTGGTAGCTCCAGCTCAGAAATGGCATCGCCATCCAATGTGGCCGATGGCAGCAAAGGTTTGTTCATGTTCATATGATTGTTCGAGTGTGTGTGTGTGTTTGCGTTTGCACATGAGTGTTTATGTTTAGATATAAATTGCGCCAAAATATTAAAAAATCGCTTAGATTTATTTCAAATACAAAAATTAGTGTTCGTAGATTATGGTAAAATATTTTCATTTATTTTTTTCTGTTTTTATCCGAGGCGAGGTAGTCTGCCATTTTGTTAAAAAAATGTAAAATTCAATTCGCCTAAGCATGCAAATCCATTCTGCCGGCGAATTAAGATTATAGCTTAGCATAGACACACACACCTTTCGGGAAACAGTGTTGTATTTACATTTGCCATAATTCCATTTCTAGATTATCGTTTGCCATAATTTCCAGAAGCTTTACGTGAAAGTCTCTCCTACCGGAAATGCGGAAAAGCTTTTGGGTTCGTTATTCAAAATGGCGTAACTTTATAACGCTTTTTAGACGCTAGAGTATCGGGGGTTAAGTCTCCTTAAAAGATCCTTTCGAAAACTAGTTTCAGAGCCATGAAATTTAAAATTAGTGCATCAAGTAACGTGTTGTAGATATTTAATAATCAGCTGATTTCTGTTTGGAGAGCGAGAGAGATTATTGAACGTGTTGATCAATCATGAGATATTTATAGAATCAGCCAAGGTATATTTAATAAGGTAGCCGCATCGGCCCAGCTGTTGGACAAATAAATGTCAAAAATGTTGTTGTAATGTTGAACCAAAAAATTAAAAAACAAAATTATGAATGAAAATCTCCGAATTTCGAAGAGCTTTTTTGGCAATCTCTCTCAAGAATTTGTGTAAAAAAATCTTGCCAATCTGTTTGTTTTGGCAAAATATTTTTGATATATCAAAATACAACAACCAATGTTTGTTGTAGAAATTCGCCGATGCGGCTACCTTGTATATCTACCTTGGAATCAGCTGTTTTTGTTTTAACGAGCAAAGAATTTATTCTGATGGCGAATTTAAATTATACCAATTTTGCATATTTGAGGAAATGGGAATTTGTTGAGACTTTTTATTTAGTGTCAATGGTGTAACACACCGCAATAAATAAACAGATTTTGAAAATCAAAATCGATTTTATGGTTGAAATAGTAAACAGGTTACAAAGTTCGATCGGTCCGATTATTTTATAACCTTGTTTGCGTATAACCGGGTAAAACCCGGCACCCAAACCCCAACTTCCGTGTCCAATAACTGGGTAGCCATGTACGGTTCCCCAAGAATAGATTATAACCTCAAAATAAAGGTAAATAATATCTGTCATTGCAAACAAATCGTATCGTTTTTACTAAACCACTTCTTCATATTGAGTTTAGATTATTAATGAGTTTTTATACACGACACAGAGCACAGTTATGGACCAATCTTCACGAAATTTTACATGTAGGATTGGTTCTGGCCAATGAAGACCCCTATTGTTTTTGCTAAAGCTCGGTTAATATTTAGGGGATAAAATGAACTTTTAGTTTTCTCTGGTCGCTCCAGAGACCGCAATTATGGCCCAAACATCGCGAAATGTTTAGCAGGTCAAAAAGACACTGACTTTTGTATGAAAAATTAAAAAAAATTGTATTCTATAGCGTATATATTTACCCCTGAAGGACATAGACCAGAGAAGTTGATAGTATATCCAAGAGGGTGGTTAACCTTTAAATTGATAGCAATTATATTGTCGTATGTACTTGGATGTGGGAGTTACACTTAAATATTTACAAGTGCTTACGGATTCATATATTATTTAGTAAACAATTAACATTAGAGTGCGCAAATATAGCGTTGATCGCTTTTGATGATCATATAATAATTTTGGGATGAATTGAACCGAAAACTTATTTTTTTGTATTTCTTTCGAGTTGATCTATAGGCCACAATTGAAAGCCGAACATCACAACACAAGCCACGGCGAAGGAAATCTGAACATGTAAATCGAAGGGCTGTATTGAATATTAGTAATATTTGTTGATTTCGAGTCGGTCAGGAGGGTGCAACTATCACAAAATATTGCCCAGGCTTGGAAAAATCCACAGAATGTTAGAGTTCCGTGGTAGTTGTGTAGGGTATCGTACGGTCGGCTCCGTCCTGGGCCGTGTGGTAATTATCCAATGAAATATTATATTCAAAATGTCGTACATATAGATTGCCAAAATTAAAGATGTCACTACAATGTAATAATGACATAATAGAAGTTTACGGATCAGTCGCGAATAGTTTTGAAATTGTTACATTAAATAGCGCTATAGGACTTGATTACAATAATATTATTTGTATAATTCGATAACTGTTCTTTTAAAATTGGTCCCAGTTGATTTTTTTGGCCCATAACTCTTGAAGAATGAACTGCAGTTGTAATAAGGAGCCTAGGAACTACAATGGACCAAAATTTCACAATGTTCGTCGAACACTAAAAAAGTAAAAACGTCGTTAATTTCGGCTGGGCCGAAAATTTCTTAAGCCTATCGGGACATTTATATGGGGACAATATTATTGCATTATGCGGTAGTACCGATTAACAAAAAATGTGGAACTTTTATGTGAGGACTATATAAAAACTTGGGATCTAAATAGACAACTTTCCGCACAAAATTTGTTTTACCCTCCAATAGGGAAATCCAGCAAAAACCGTTAAAATACTGACAAAGAGGAGGGGCTACCCTTATATGGAGGGCTATGTCATCACATGGACTTATATTGAAAATTTTCTATATTTATAAGTAAATAAGTCAGTCAGGGTAAATGCGGCTTAATTCGTCAATATACTGAATATGTGAGGGCAACGTTCTATGGAAGCTATACTTAACAAAAAACTGAGATTGATTTTTTTGGTAGGAAGATTTGACACCACATAGGAACTTGAAAATTATTTAAATCATATTAGACTGAATTATATTACTGAAGGTTGAAACAAGTGTCCAAAACTTCACCAAAATACCGAAATTCGCAATGTAGCGTTATATGAAGGATTCCCAAAAAATGAACCAATATTGATCATATTTAGTAGAAAGACTTTTTACACCCCGTAAGAACCTGATAAATCAAAATAGAGCCAATTGTGTTATAAAACGTGTTAAAAAACCCCAAAATATCGAATAATGGGGGAACTATGACCTGTGGACTAAAAATGACCCAATGTTGATCATTTTTGATAGGGACATTTTCAGCTCAATGAGAATCAAAAGTATTACATTGGTCCAAAATCTGTTGAAATTTGGGCTTAAGCTGCCCCCAAAATATCGATGTTTGGTGTGTACCGGTATATGGGGGAAACCTCGAAACATAAGCCAATATCGATATTCTTTCGTAGGTAGATCTGATGGGCGAAATGAATCCCCTAAAAATGGATCAAAATTGATAGTTTTCGGCAGGAAGATATTCAATGATAACCAAACGTAGCATATTACAGCCAATTCGGCTGAAAAACGTGTCAAAATTTTCCATAACACCGAAAATTTGGTTGTACCTTTATATGGGAGCCATACCAAAACGTGGGCCGATATATTTGCAATACCAACCATTCCAGGAGTAATACCAATTCCAATGCAAATTTTCAAAGCTCTTCCTATCTCAAATATTGCGATCTCAATCAAAATTTGAATAGACAGACCGACAGGCATAAATCGGCATAGAATTGTATTCTGATCAAGAATATACATGCTCTTTGGGGTCGCCGAAGAATATTTCGATGTGTTGCAAACGGAATGACATTTTATGTACACTCCACTTTATGGTCGAGGGTATAATATATTGTTATTGCTTTTTCCCATATTGATATTCTCCCTTCATCAACAAGTCTATTTTTATAATCAGGTCGTAAGATATTCTTTTTATAGGTTATATACGAAGAAACTAAGAATTCCAAAGACCTAGGGCTATAAACGCAATAGTACTCAAATTTTGCGATTCCTTTTTATTTTTAACTTGGTAAAAATAATTTCGATGTGTAAATTATCTGTAAATAATCATTATAATCGGTCTTTTAGTTTTTTATAATAATATTGTTATGTTCTTCTTTCAATTTCAGCTACTAATTATGAATTTCATTCGAGCATCTCAGAAGAAGAGAAACGTTTTTATCTCAAAGCCTATCCGACGGTTGATATTGTACGCGATCGTAAAGTTCATTGTACAGTATGTAAAATACACATTGGTACGGCTCCCATACAGGAGACAGGCATTAAAATGCATCCCATTCTACGGGTTACACACTGCTTGAAATGTCATGATTTCTATAATAGCGGCGAATTTAGTAAGGGTGAAGATGGCTCCGAGTTGTATTGCCGTTGGTGTGGTCAAGGCGGTGAAGTATATTGCTGTTCCAGTTGCCCCTATGTATTTTGTAAATCATGCATTGTCAAGAATTTGTCACGTGGCGTTGTGGCCGATATTGAACAGAATGAGAATTGGAATTGTTTTAGTTGTGCACCGAAAATCCTGTGGCCGTTGCGGGCACAACATTGGGCTCTAATGAATTACATTGAACAGCAAAAGAAGTGAGTGAGAGATAATATATATAATGTTGCTGTATTTATTAACATGTTTTTGTTTTACAGGGAAGCCTATGCCATGAATTTAAGCGAACAGGAACTAAACCAACTGCTTCGACGTGATCGAAGCAAATGTTGCCGTTTGGCCAAAGCCAAGTGTGGCAACATGTCCGATTCAATGGAAAGCTTAGATTCTGTGGTATCCAAGCGCAGCCAGGGCAGTTCTTCGGGTTCGGCAAAGAAGGCTGCCAAACATGGCTCAACACCATCGCCACAACAGCCGAATGCTAAAAGACCCAAAAACAATGATGAAGTGGTTTGTACACCTGATTTGCTCAGCATGTTGGAGCCGGATTGTCAAATTACGGTCTCACAGAAAAATAATGGTAACACACCCCAACGCCCAATGCCATCACCATCCGGTGTATCACCGAGAATTGTGTCCATTCAACAATCACCCAACGCTTATGGTGGTGGTCAAAGTATAAATACGTCATCCACTCCAAAAACATCGGCTCCACCACCATTGCTGTTGCGAAATACTGCCATAAAATTGCGACCGGCTGCTCAGCCACCAATTGTACGCCGCACCGTTATTGGTCCGAGGACACCGGCACCCGGTGGAAATAGTGCCCCGGTATATCACACCATTAATGGTTATCGCATCGACTTAAATTCGGCTGCTCAACAAGAGACCTTCCGTTTACCCAATGGTAAACTTATACAGGTCAAGAGGCAGGGTCCACCGCCGGGTGCAAGTCCTGTACCCCCCGGGAATAATTGGCAACAAATGTCCCAACAACAGCAGCAACGAGTTGTGCCACAAACAATTGCCTCGAGGCCAGTTCAAATTACTCCACATCCATATCCAGGAGCAAATGTCATGCAGACACCTGGTCAGCCGCAGGTGGTACGTTATCACAACAATGTCATTGGTTCGACTACAATCAATGCTGTTGGTCATAATGGTACTCCATTGCAGGCAATAAATGGTCAAATACCGGCACAACCACAAGCTGCTCCTCCGAATGTACAACAAATGGTTCCAGGACAGCCAATTCGTCCGGTAATGGTGCGACACATTTTCCCCGATACACCAATTGGTCAGGCCCGAACCCAATTGCAGGAGCAGGTGTTCAATGCCATGGAAATATGTACACATCTTACGAACAAAGTTCAAACGTTGACAAATTCGAATGCCTATAAACAGGCGAGGAACTATTTGGAAGTTAAGGAACTCTACATTCATTTGTCGTATTTGTTGACCTATGCCATTGGTCGATTTAAAGGTTTACAAGATAAATGTTTGGCTGATATGCGTCAGCTTGGTTTTGGCAACGATGCGGATTGCTTGGAAAATGGCCAATTGGCAGCAGGTAAGTTTTTTTTTGTTTGTTAGCTATTTTATACATTTATGATATTAGTAAAATATGGATGATTATTAAAATCTCGTATAGATTGTAATCAATTAACGGAAATTAATTAATAAGTTTGCCGACCCTGCTGACCTATTTAAAACCCTTTCTGTTTGTGTGATATTCAAACTTGTTTTTGTGTAATTTGAAAAATCACTTCTTCTAAAAAACTGTGGAAGGAATAACATATAAACGTTCATATTTTTATAGGCCTATTTTGAATTACCTGATGAAGGAATGTCATATTGTTCCAGATCCTTTTAAAGTAAAAAAAGTGTTAGTTTGTGTTGCCGACAGATATTTACCCTCAGCTCGCTCCTAATTAAATTTACAATTTTATAAAATTATGAACCTTTGTGGGGGGAAGGTACCAGAAGGAGTGGAGCAATGGGTCCCATCTTAGGAATTGATCTAGTTTTAGTAAAGACAACAGGTTGTGCAAAGTTTGGTTACAATCGGTCATTCCATTCGCCTGATATTGGATTTAAAAATATTGAAAATTCCGACCCTTTGTGGGAAAGTTACCAGAAAAAGTGGACCAATGGGTCACCATCTGCGGTCTTGATCCAGGTTTGGTAAAGATAATAGGTTGTGCAATACTTGGTTCAAATCGGACATTCCATTCGCCTGATATTGGATTCATAAATATGAAAATTTTGACCCCTTATGGGGGAGGGGATGTACCAGAAGGAGTGAATCAGTGGGTTCCACCGTCGGACTTGATCCAGGCAAGGTAAAGACAATAGGTTGTGTTCAAATCGGTCATTCCATTCACCTGATATTGAATTCATAAACACTGAAAATGTTGACCCTTCATGGGGAAGGTAACAGAAGGAGGGGACCTTGATCTAGGCTTGGGAAAGATAGTAGTTAGTACAAAGTTTGGTTGCAATCAGATAGTCCGTTTGTATGATATGATAGATTTTTCGGAGATTTTTTCTCTCAAACACTCCATGAGCTGCCTCATCTGCTTGCGCAAGTGCCCATGCTTCTGATCCATACATCAACACCGGTAGTATAAGCGTCTTGTAGAGTGTGAGTTTGGTCTGGAGTGAGGTGGACTTGTTTTCAAACTGCTTACTTAGACCATAGTAGCATATGTTGGCCAACACTATCCTTCTCTGAATTTTAAAACTGTCATTCGTTGCATTTATGCCCGTACCAAGGTATATAAAATTTTTGACTACCTCGAAGCTTTTGTTATCAACCTCCACAGTTGGTCTGAGTCTACTGGATATCTTGCGCGTTGATACTATCAGCTTGGTATTCTCGTCGTTTACTGCCAGACCCACTTTGGCAGACTCCTTCTCAATTTGTTCAAAGGTGACTGTTACCGCTCGCAATGTTCGACCCATTGTATCGATGTCATCAGCGTAGGCGAGTAAGTGTACAGAGTGACATTTCAGTTCACCTTTGGCTTATGACTTTTTCCAGCAGGATATATCTGAACGGATAGAGTTCCGCATTTGACAACTCTATCCGTTCATATGTGTTTAAAGTCATGTCAAAATGAATACGGCTATGCAGGATAACTTTAACTGGCACAAGATCAGCAGTTAAAGTAGGACCTCTCCGAGCCCTTCAATAGTCGACGAATATGTGGAATGTGTCGATGTGTTTTTCGTAGGGGTTTTTCAGGACTTGGCGCAGAGTGAAAATCTGGTCAATGGTGGATTTGCCAGGTCTGAAGCCGCATTGGTATGGTCCAATAATGTCATTGACAATTGGCTTCAGTCGTTCACACAGTACGCTGGATAGCACTTTATGTGCGATGGGAAGGAGACTTATTCCTCTATAGTTGGCACATATCGTCTTGTCTTCTGTTTTGAGCATGGGACACAGGATGCTAGTAAAATTTCCGGACTTCATTCATGTATTCCTGTATATATCGATTTGCTCACGCATATTACGATATGCAGGAGGTTTATCTATTATAGTACCTAATCCGCATGGTAATATATTCGGGTTCTTGAGGGTGCATACAATTTACAATGTTCTGAAATCGCCTTTATATGAAGGTCCCGTCCCATTTCAAGTATTTGCAATATTCATAGGTCAATGGTCCTTATATAAAGATTCCACCCAATTGTCTTAAAATTCCTTTCGAATTCGTATGTTCGTTGATTACTAATTACTATGAATTCCGTTCTCTCTTCATTTCATTATTATTTTTTTTGTTGTCCTAGTACATAATTTGCATCCTAAAGTAATTTTATTAGTAGATGTTGTTGTAAAATTTGTATAAAAATATGTTACTTATTTAATTGTCATCATTGTCTTAAGTCATTTTTCTTACACATGGACTTAAATTAAGTGTTATACGCAACAGAGAAAAAGTGCTTTGAAACAAACGAATGTGTTAAAAAAAAAATATATTAAAGAAAAAGAAACAAATTACTAAACCGGAATGTAAGTACAGAAGAAATTAAAGACTAACCGAAAATGAGTTATATTTCATTGACTTCCGGCTGTTATCACTGAAAAACAAAATCACTGGAAATAACCATAATTTGCATGGACACACAATAGATGTAGTTCCAGAGAGTACCCTCAACTTTTATTTTAACTCATATTTCAAAATAATGTGTCTCTCAATGGCACCTTGATTTTTGGTCCATGTGTTGAACTTGCCACTTTGCCAACGTCCTTCCTTGGAAATATTAGGAAGCGAGAGGAAAGCAAAGAGCGAGCGAGTGAAAAAACTATGAAAAATGTCTGAAGGCAATGAAATTAAAACTCATTTGACGTTAATAATTTTCTTAATTTATTTCTCTTTTTTATTATCCATTCTCTTGTGCGTGTGTGTAGCTGTTGATTATGTCTGCTATGGCCAATTGGATGATGTTGATCTATTCAATACGGGTAACAATAGCTTCCACAATCAAGTCTATGAATATCGCAAAAGCTTACATGCCAATCTAAAGGATGGCGAAGATGGCCCCAGATCACCCTTACCACCCATATTTGAATTGGGCCAGGGTAAATCCAATGAAATATCCGATGATGAAAATGGTGAAGATAGTTTATTGGAGGCGCCGGAAGGTGAAATGAAAGGAGACAATTGGATGGGTGGCGATGATTCTCCAGCACCCGCCTACGATCAAGAGAATGAAGAAAACGAAGAACCCGATGAATCCTATATGGACAATGATGATGACGATGATGGTTATGGTCGTTCTATGGGTGGTTATGGCGGCGGTGGTGGCTTTACGCAGGGCACCGAAGAGTCAATGCGACGCAATGAAGAATCTCATGCCTATGATCGTAAACTGACACGATTGGTATCACAATATCCTTCGATATGGTGTACCCGTCATCCGGACTATGGTAATTTTGAGGTCACCCGCAAACAATGGCGTATCATTGCTGCACATTTCGATCGCAATGAAAACATCAAACTACGTTGGAAGAATATACGCAAACGTTTTGTACGCATTGAAAAACGTATTGCCGATGGTAAACGTTTCAATGGGCACTTTGATAAGGCAATGGCATTTTTGGCTAATCGTGATTTACCACCAAATCAATGGTTGCCCGTCGATTGTGGCGAAGATGACGGTGATACCTATGATCGCAGACAATTGGATGCAATGGAAAAGTCAATAAATCGGCATGATAGAGATGAATTTGGTAAAAGAAGGGAAGGTGGTGGAGGAAGAGGAGGAGATGGAGGTGGTGGTGGTTCTTCTGCAAGAGATCATCGTCTTGCGTATAATTATCAACCAGCCATAAAACCCATCGAAGTAGATCCTTTGGATTCGAAAATTATAACATTTGTCAAAACAAATCCGGTGCTGTGGAGAAAATCAATGGATCCCGAAGCGGATAAAATTGATGAACAAACCCGGGCAACTGTTTGGTCACAACTGGCTAAATCATTAACGAGTAAGTAGAAAGTTTGTTGTCAACAATGATTAAGAAGTGGAAAGGTCGGAAAATTTTGAACAGTAAGCTTTTTTTTCGTAAAGAAAAGTTATTGGTTAAACAATTTTTGTAGAGGAAACCTTTTCCCCAATAGGAAACAATTAGGAAACAGTCCACAGACGCTGAAAAATATTTAAAAAAAATCAACATTTAATATCATTTTAATTTTAATCCATTCGTCACTATTCCTTGAAATAATAATCATTTTTTAAAAATTGAAACCTATATAGTCCCCGAAAAAAAATTTTAATTACACTTTTATTTTTTAATTTGAGAAAAATTCCACATCTTCGGAAAAAAATATTTAAAAAATTCAAGCCAATATATATATATATATATGTTCTGAAAACGTCAAGGTTTATGTAGTCCTTGGAAAAAATATTTTTTAAAATTCAAGCCTACACAAAATTTATAAAACATTTTTTTTAATTCACGCCTACACCATCCATAAAAAATATAGAGTCCTTGGAGAAATTATTTGTTAAAAACCAAACCCTATAAAGTCCTTGGACAAATTATTTGTTAAAAACCAAAGCCTATGGAGTCCTTGAAGAATTTATTTGTTAAAAAACCGAAGCCTATAGAGTCCTTGAAAATAAAAAATATAAATAAAAATATTTAAAAAGATCCACATCTATATAGTACTTGGAAAATTATCACATCCATATAATTCTTACAAAATTAAATAACAATTTTTCCTGCAGAAGAAAAAAATGTTCTATGCAAGAGGCGGTGTCAGATAATGACTTTTTCCTATTAGAAAGATAGAGTGTTTCGACTTGTTCCACTTCTTAATTTAATTGATGCTTCATTGTCCGTCCTCCCTATTTCCCCTCACTAATTACTTTGTTTTCCCCCTCTCCTCATTCAGCTGTATCCAGTGAATATATCAAAGATCGTTGGCAACATTTATATGAAATGTATAAAACATTCCGTTTGAAAACTATCAAATCTCCCGAAGATCGTGAAAATCTTGAATTGAAATATTCAAAATATATTGCCCGATTATATTTCCTACATAAGCTGGATGAAAATGAATTGCGTAATGAAAATAATGGTCTCTTTGAAGACTGCTTTGAGTTGGAAGATGATGAAGAAGCCGAAGAAGAGGAGAGAGAAGCTGCCGAACGTAAAAAGACGGAAAATGCCAATACCGAAGATGAAGCCGGCGAGGAGGATACAACTGAACATGATAGTGGTCAGGAAGAAAATAATGCAGCGGGCGATAATAGCAACGAGAAAGATAAAACTCTGAAAGCAGCAGCACCCACAAAACTACAAGATATGCCCGATGATAAGGAATTCCTCAAGCAATTGGTGTTGTGTGTTAAACAATATCCCGCCCTGTGGGATACAAATCATATTGATTACAATGATATTATGGTTCGTGATAATTATTGGCAAGAAATTGCCACAAAATTGGAGGAATTTAAACGTAGGTTTTCAATAACTGAATTTCAAAATAAAATAATAATTATTACTTGTTTTTATTATTACAGGTGAAGTGAAAACAATTAAATTACGCTGGCAATTGGCCAAATTTAGCTATTATCGCTACAAACGTGAAAATGGCCAAATTTTGGAAAATTCCAAAATGGAACAGTATTGCAAAAATCTACCCATTGATGATATGGAATTTTTAAATAATTTTTAGATGCGAGTATCTCATTTTAGGTTAAGTCTTTCCCTTCCACCCACCCCCATCCATAACCATTTTACATCTATCTAACTTTACTCAAAATTACTTTAAAATTGTATTTATAATTAATATATTGTGTCTGTTTATTTTATATTATCCTTTAGTTTTCTACTCATCTCGCCTCCTTCGTGATTTTTTCATTTTGTTTTAATTTATCTTGCTATTTTTAATTATTTATGATTTTTTATACCCTCTATATGATATACATATTTTTTTCTCAATATAAAAGGTAGCCATAAATATTTTTTTTATTATGGAAACTATAAAATTCTTATTATAAAATTCTCAAAATAAATATTCTGCGCAAATATAAATAATTATACCATATAAATCCTAATCGAATAAAACAAGTCATTTTAATTGAAGAAAAAAAAAAAACATTTATTTATTTAAAAATTAAAAACTAAATTTAAAACATTTTTTCTCGAGAAGAGGGAGGTGCACTTTGCACCTTCACAATCTTATTTAATTCGGTTGAATAAGAGTTGCATTGTCCGCAAGAGAAATTTTTCTGTAGACCAATTTTTTCTACGGGAAGAGTTCCTGATGGGCATATTTTCCATAGTAAAGGGAAGTTTTTCCGTAGAAAATTTTACGGTGAACAACTTTTTCCTTGGGAAAGTTCCAAAAGGACAACTTTTTTCATGGAAACAACTTTCCTCAGAAATATTGCTGGAAGATCCAGTTTCTTATTGAAATGTTCCAATAAGGCAATTTTTCCATAGAAAATTTCCTGGAGGGAAATTTCCAGGAGGACCACTTTTCTCATAGAAATAATTTTTGAGGACAACATTCCTCGGAAATGTTCCTGGAGGGTATCTTTTAATATTGAAATGCTCCTAAAAGGCAATCTTCCCACAGAAAAGTTACTGGTTAGCTATTATAAATATTTCTCATTTTAATCCCTTTCGAATTTTATTTTATTTTTTTCAGACAAGCAAGCCAGCGATGATGAGGATAATGAAATTGAAATTGTTGAACCCAAGACCGATCTTATAACCTTGGATTCCGATGATGATGAGCCAACACCACCGGCAGCAACATCAAAGACGCCGCCAGAACAACCACAACAGCCCCTTATAAAAATACAAAAATCGATTCCAGCCACACCACCCACTAACACAACCATAGCTCAAAGTCGTGTGGTTATCACACCACTGCTATTGAATCAACAAAAAACTCCAACCGCCGTATCGTCCACCTCCTCCTCTGCCTCCAATAATGTTATGACTGCAAGAGGTACCTATGTTCCTCCAACTACGGCTGCCAAGATTACACCTATTAAAATAGGCAATTCTCCAGCACCGGTACCTCCCTTGGTTCCAGTTAATAACACAACATCTGGCGGCTCCTCCTTGGCTGCCGATGATGATGACAATATGGATCTAATGAGTATGGCACAAAGTTTTCTGGCCAGTATGTTAGAAGTTGATGCCAATGATGGTTCATCGCGTAGTAGTTGTGATACACCAACAACAACGCCACACACGAAAAAACAGCCACGCAAGAAAATGACCAATAAACCCAATCCGACGCTGTTGAAACAGAAAGCCCTCATGGAATTGGAACGTCTGGAGGAAATGAAACGAAATGATCAGAAATTAAAAATGAAATGTAAGGTCGAGTTGAGTAGGGCTGAGGATGAGTATCCGTTTGTCAAGTCGCTGCTGGAGGCTAAAAAGAAAACTCATGAAGAAGAAGAAACAGAGAATGGGAAAGAGAAACGGAATTCATCAGATGGCACAACCATGATGGTAAACACTGGCCAGGAGACTATAGAAGTTCATTTGGTCATTGAAGATGATGCATTGAACAGCTCCAATGAAGAAAAATCCAATTCGAAAAAGGAGAAAGAGAAATCACAAAATGAAATGCAAGAAAAACGAAAAGTCTCCACTGAAGGCAAAGAGTCCAATGAAATAAATCAAGATGGAAGTAATAAGGAAAATAAAAAGGATACTTCAATGGATGTTTTTGAAATATCCGACGATGTAATGGAAGAGGTGAAAGACCAGAGTTTAGAAATAATAGAAACTGATAAAATCTCGGAAAAAGAAACAACAAAAGAGACAGAGAAGCAAGTTGTCGATAATGGCATTTCATTTACAGATCCCAAGGATATGAATGATGAAATTTCTGTAAGGGAAACAACAGAGAAATTGGTAAAACCTAAAGAATCTAAGGAGGCGGAGGACACAAGTGAGGATGTATCTAAAACGGAAGTAGATACGAGCGAACAATCCGCCAAAAGTACTACAGAAGAGACTACAACAAAGAATGTAGCAGATATAGACGATGTTGAGGTCTATCAAGAAATAGAAAAGGTTTTGCAAAGGAAAAGCAGTGGAGAAGAATCACAATCGACAACAGAAAATAAAATAGCAGAGGAGGCTATGTATGATGACATTATCACCGAGGCAGAGAAACCTGAAAATCATAATAATTCACCTCCAGGAGAAATAGAAAAAGACTCAAATAACGAGACTCAAACCCTAGATGAAGTTGAGGAAAATCCACCCACTCCACTTGTAGATGAAACCATGGAAACTGAAACTGATTCCAATTTAGTAGATATTAATAAAAAATCAACAACTCTTGAAGCTGGAATCTCGAGTGATGATTTAATAACAAAAGAACAAATCTCGGCAACAATTTCTGCAGCAGAAGAAGAAGAACTGCCCAGCGTAACGACAAGAGAAGAAGAACAAAAATTAACAACCGCTAATGGTGATGTTTAATTTAGGAAGAAAAAGAAAAAAAAAACAAAAATTCCAGCTGCATCATGTTGGACTAAAACAAAATCATAGCATTATACATACTTTACAATTTATTATAGATATATAGGACATTTGAATTAATTATAAAACACAAACACAGTCCTTTAAGGTTATAATGAACAATAATTTTTTACAGGGCCAATCAATTGGTCTCAATTTTTATAACCACAGTGAAAAAAAAAACAACAAAAATATGTTCCTTATAACCCTAAACGACAAAATTTACTTTTCAATTAAGTTGAAACAACATAAACTCGATATACATATAAACACTATTGCAATGAAATGAAATTATTTTGTAAAATTTTCAAAATGTTTGCCTTCCCCCATCCCTCTACTTTATTTTACCTGTAGTAAAACAGGTATTTAAACTACTATTACTTTCTTATAAATTTCTTTTTTATAAATTGAATAATTTTCTATGTTTAGTTATAGTTGTACAAATTTGGAATTAAGAGACAATTTATAAAATTTTTGTAATTAATATTTGTTTTAATATTATTTTTTTATGATTACGAACTTCTGAAATTTCAAAAAAAGAAGTTTATTCTGCTGGTTGTACAATTATTATTTTTTTTGTATTCGATTATTGAAAAATGCTAATAAAATTTTGATTTTGAGACAATAACATATGTGTTGTGTATTATTAGATGAGATTTAACATTTAATTGCTTAGGAAAACGCAGTTATGAACAAATATAATGTTTTATTTGACAACAATGGATGCTTTTAACACATGTATTTTTAAGAAATTCAAAATGAGAATGAAACCTATATCGAAATTGGAGCTGAATAAGATCACAAAAACTAATTTTTTACGTCCTTTAAACGAACCTCCTGCTGCCTTTATCCAAGGGTATCTATCTATATTTAAAATTAGAAGTTGTTATATTTATAAATATTCTTCATCAGTGGATATTACACATATGTAAATGTGATCATGGGTCCCTACAAATAATCATGTTATATTTGTTCTTCCTTACTTAGCTGTTATATGTTCTTCCTTACTTGTTACAAAACGGTTGTTCCATAAGTCGAGCTTAAAAAAGATTTCCAAGCGCTTCGGTCTTGTGCGCATCTCCTCCAATTTTAAAGACCATGCTCCGAAATGTTGTCTTCTACTTGGTCTTTCCATCTAATTCGTAGCCTTCCCCTTCTGCGTGAACCATCAGTCGGCTCGCTTTTATATGCCTTTTGAGCTGGCCCGTAGATCTTTCGGATCATTTTTCCCTCAGCATCTGTTGGCCAACAATATCCTTCTCGGAATTTCAAAACTGATGCCATTAGTTTTATTTATGGCGATACCGAGGTATATAAAATCTTTGACTAACTCGAGGCTGAAGTTGGACGACTTGCGCGTTGATACCATCAGCTTGATCTTCTCGCCCTTTACTGCCGGACTTACTTTGGCGGACTCCTCAATATGTTCAAAGATGACTGTTACCACTCGCAATGTTCGACCCCATTATATCGATGTCATAGTCGTAGGCTAGTAATATATGTGTTGTTTGGTCTATAGAGTTCCACTCCCAGCAGGGTGTTATACAGGTCGCATGACAAACTGTCACCTTGTCTGAATTGAAGGGCTCCAAGAGGTCCTTTCCAAATTTAACTGCTGACCTTATGTCACTTAAAATTATCCTGCATAGCTGCATTAATTTCGCACGAATGCCGAACGCAGACATGACTTTAAACACCTCCCTGAAATCGCATTGGTATGGTCTAATAATGTCATTGACCATTGGCTTCAGTTGTTAAAGCATCACGCTGGATAGCGCTTTATATGCGATGGGAAGGAGACTAATTCCTGTATAGTTGGTACATATCATCTTGTCTCATTTTTTTGAACGGGAAACAGGATGCTGGGATTTCAATCGTATGTGCGTGAAAATAAATTCAAATTTGAAAAGCGAAGACACTCACCATTATGTGTGGTTGTGTCCAGTATGACAGTTTTGTTATACAATATAACAGATTTTATTGACTGAAAATTTGAATTTAGAACACATAAATTCAATTTGGCAAAGTTTTGACTAATTTAAACATTTACTTCACAGGTAAATTCATTGGTGGTGGATTTGTTGTGGCAAGAACACTACTTTTAATCCGTGTGCACGCATCATCATTGGGCTCCTTCATAATATATTCATTTTTAATTGTATATAATGTATGCTATACTTTTATGTAATTTTATTTAATTTTTTTTTAAATATTACTGCAATGTGTAAATATGTCTTTGCTAATGATTTTTGTCACTTGCATGTATTTTCTATTTCAAATATGTGAAAATTGTTTATGTTTTATTATAAATACAAACATTATAAAATAAAACTGTATATATTTTTATATGGCTTGTATGTGTGTGTATTTTTGTAACTTCCACTTTCATTGTATATGCTTCATGGTTTATATTTTATAATAAATAAAATTTATGATTTCACTAACCTAATTTTTAATTATTTGTAATGGTGATATTTAACCACACTTTGGATTCGCTTTGTATTTAAAAGGTAAAAAAATATTTAAAAGAGGATATATATATATATATAGTATAAGCACTATTTGAAGTTCGTAATTTTAAATGTACGGATACCTATATGAAATTTATTTCAGTGCACTGTGCACCATTGGATAGGTTATGGAAAGAGCTTCTAGACCCAGTTTTTATTTTGGTTCGAAATATGTTAGAACTTTAATTATTTTGAATATTCAAAAACCTATATGAAATTCGTTTAAGCCCACTGTGCGAAAATTATACCCGATACACCCCTAGACTATGCACCATTAGATAGGCCATGGAAAGAGCATCTAGACCCACACCAAGGCACCAATAGTTATTTGCAAATAGAATCTCCATCTTCCCTAACAAAACAAAAATCATGGATATACTTTATATTTCCAATAGGTCTCCAATATATTCCTAATGCTGTGTAGTAAAAGAAAAATTTACAAAATTTAAATCTGAAGGGGTTTTGTGTCGCACAAAGACAAGCCACATAACCCCACATTTGTGAACCCCAAAAATCATTAAATTCTTCCAATACTTCAACTGTATTTCTTAGTTTATTCTTTTTTTCTATTACATAAAATCCCATAGTATACGAACTAAGAAATTTGGCATGTAGGATGGGTTCTGGCCAATGAAAACCCCTATTGTTTTTGGAAAAGATCGGTTGTATCTAGGGGATGAAATTGACCAAATTCTTAATTTTTATCGGTTTTTCTGGTCGCTCTAGAGGCCTCAATTATGATTTAAACATCGCGAATTTTTACATAGAAAATGGGATCGGGCCAAAGAATAATCATGCCTGTTTTGATAAGGATCGGTCAATATTTAGCGGATCAAATGGACCCTGAATTTTGTGTGAAAAATTACAAAATTTGTATTCTATAGCGTATAGGTTTACCCCTGAAGGACATAGACCCGAAAAGTTGTTGATATATCCAAGGACGGTGGCTGACCTTTTAATTGATACAAATTACATTGTCGTATGTACTTAGATGTGGGAGTTACACTTAAATATTTACAGGTGCTTATGTATTCAGATATTATTTAGTAACCCTTTACCACACTAGAAGGCGGAAATATAGCACTGATCGCGTTAAAATGTTCCATGAAGTTCCAGTTATGGTCAAGGGTAACGGCTACAATTTTCGGCGACGATCACATAATTTTTTGAATGATGAAGTGGACCGAAAACTTAATTTTTTGTGTTTTTTCGAGTCGATCTATATGCTCCAATGGGAATAAGAAGATCATAACACAAGGGAAGATAATCTGGACAAGTAATTAGAAGGGCTATACTGAACATTATTAACAATTGTCGGCCTCTAGTTGGTAGAGATGGTTCAAAAATCGCGAAATATTGCCCAAGCTCAGAATATAGATCCACAGAAAGTTAGTTTTTCGTGAAAGTTGTGTAGTTGAATTTTAGTAGGGCTGTTAGTACGCATTTAATTTAGGTACGAGCCTTCAACTCAAATCAGCTGTACGCTGTGGGTTAATGCATGTACGTAATTGTGAAAGCGAACAAGGCTGTTCAAATGCCCGTCAGAACATGGTATTATCTGGCAATATGGTACTGATCTGGCAATATGGAACAAAAACTGCTTCGGAAGAAAGCAATCTCTTGTTGCTGTGTTTTTGCCATTGTTCTCATAAGTATAGACTCTCTTTGACGAGTGAAACAGATATACCAAAGCGTAATGTTTCTTTTCACTCTACAATATAGAGTCTATATTTAAATGAGAATTATGTACACACATTTGCACAATCAAAAAACACAACCACAACAAAATGCAACAGCAGGTACCGTTATTTTTTCATAAAGCAGCCCATCAAAGCAAATAGAGAACATATTTTTTGTATGTTCTCTATTTGTTTTGATGTGTTGAATGCCATTTTTTTCATTCTACATTCAATTTTCGCAACATCGTTCAGGAGCTAATAATCAACCAAAAAACTGTTTTAAACCATTTACACAAAGCTGGATTCAAAAAGAAAAAAAAATAACTGAAAAAAATAGGATGGATCGAATTTCCATCTGCGAAGCCATGGAATGAAATAGACCCATTTCCTAAACGGATGGTGACTGGAGATGAGAAATGGATCAGATACGATAAACCTGTGCGAAAACGATCGTAGTCAAAGAACGGTGAAGCACCTCAGACTGTGGCCGAAACAGGACTAACGGCCAGGAAGGTTCTGTAATGCATTTGGTGGGACTGGATACACGACACTGTAATGGACCAATCTTCACGGAATTTTGTATGTAGGATGGGTTCTGGCCCTCATAGTTTTTCGAAAAAGTCGGTTAATATTTAGGGGATGAAATGTATCAAATTCTTAATTTTTTTCGGGTTTTCAGGTCGCTCTAGAGGCCGCAAATTTGGTCCGAACAATGCATTTTGTTGGACTGGAAGGGGAAACGCTAAACCGTTTGAAGATTACAATTGACCAA